CGTATGAACCCAAGCGCAACCGCTCATTCGCGGCCCGCGAGGACGTTAGAATAGGATGTGCGAGACACCCATAGAAGCGATGTAACCATTGTCGTTAGTTTGTAAGCCGATACCGTGTAAGCCCGTGGAGGAAATGCATTTACGCACGAAGTGTGGGACTATCATCCGTTTGGATCTAGATCGCGCTGAGGCGACAGACTACCCACTAAAACCCCCTTCCTAGTACTGAGTCGGTTATCGGTTGCATGTCCATCTAGGACTAGCAGTTTCTGCCATGTTTGCTTTATGACTGCAAATTTCAGTGCTGAGTCGTCAAAGCGCGAGTGCATGAGAGCGCGGTCAAGGTCCAGACGCTCGTTGATTGCTTTCCACCATCTCGCGCGCACCTCGTCGGCCGAGTGCTTGTGTCCTTCTTCCTCTCCTTCCTTCGGGATTTGTCGTTCGCAACGTATGTTCCATGCTTGTCGGAAGACTGTCGAGATAATAATGCGAGCTACTCGTTCAGCGCCCTCGTCTCGGGAGCCGTCGTCTTTTATGTAGCGGATTAGGCCGCACGATAGTACGAGGCCATAGCGGTCTTCCGCTGGCCATGTCCCGTGGCCTTTCCTTTCCCATAGTTTGTTGGCTTCCTGCCATAGGATTGCTTGGCCGGGGGCCGTGCATTGTGTAAGTACATGTTCCATCGTTTCACACTCTGCTCCGCACCCGCCGCATTTCTTTCGTCCGTTGTATTGTGGGTCTGACATTTTCGCCCAGTAGTTTCCGATCTTGTATGCATCATGCAGCGCCTTCCATAGGAACTCTACGTCTTTTCGGTAGAAATCCTTGTGCCACGAGGCCCTCCAGATGGCCTCGGGGGATGGCGGGGTGCCGTTGTACTTTCGGGCAGTTTCTCTTGCGCGTTTTAGGTTCGTCGTTGTTGCTTTCCTATCTTTTATCACTTGGGATTTCCTAATCCATCGGTATAGGAGTCGCTGGGAAGCTTTTTCGAGAGGGATACCCCTCATCGCCCACTGTTTAGTGACTTCGTCTTCGGTCTCTCTATCTGGGTCTGACGGTTCTATCTCGGCCGCCTCGTCTAGCAGGTCCTTGAGGTTCGACGGTGTTGTTCGGGTTAGTTGTATTTTGGTCGGCGCTGCTCTTTTGTTGATCATTGCGTATAGGAACCTCCATTCCTCGGCGCTTTTCGTGTAAACGAAGTCGGTATCCTCGGCATTCTCTTTTTTCGAGGTGAGCAAGGCATGGAACTGGGTGTTCGTGGATTGGATGGTAACAACCGTTTCTTCTGGGACCCTTTTCAGTGCGCGTATGGCCGCCACTATCAAAGGCAGCATAGGGTCGTTTTCCGTCCGTGTCCTCCTTTTTGTGACCGTGGTTTCTTCCTTGATGCTTATCCTCTCGTGTAGCCCTTCCTCATTATCCGGTGATAAGTATGCCCCGAGACGTAGTTTTCCGTCGGCTTCTGTGGTCTTCACCTTGGAGGCGAGAGCTATCGTCATCGCAGGGAGGCGGTTTTGGACTAGTTGGGCGTCTAGCCTATACTTCTTGTCTATCATGTTAAGTGCCGATTCGCGGGCTATCCTCGCTTTCAACGACTTCGGTTGCGGCTTGCTGAACACTCTCAGGTTGCTCCGCATCGATTGGCCACTTATGATGGACTTCGCGATCGTGTGGATGGGCTCGTCCTCCTCTCGCTCGCCCGGCGTGGGTTGGGGCGGGCGTATTTGCGGGTCGTTCATGTCGGGGTCCCATCGTGACTTTTCAATGTAGGACCATAGTTCCGTCGCTTTGTTGAAGCAGCTGTTTGGTGTGTTGCAGAACCGGCGGTCGGTTACGCATGCCTGGCATGTGCAGTTTGGTCGGTTCGAATGTGGGCGTGCTAGGGGTAAGTCTTCTCTCGATTCTACTAGGTTCTGTAGGTCGCGGACGGTTCTAATCTTGTGCTTTTCCACTAGGCATTGGCATTCCTTAATGCGCATTAAGGCTCGTACCCGTAGTCTCTCTTTTGGGGAGCTGGGGTTCAGACCCGGGTGGTGCCACACGAGCGCGTCGAGTTTGGCTTCTTTGGAGGGGGAAAGTATGTCGAGGTTGACATTATACTTCCTAGCTGTCTTGAATATATCTTTGAGTTCTGACGGCCACATTTTAGTGGTGGAGTGACTAGCCGGCGCATCCCAGCTTTGCAGGAGGGGGTTCTGTCTTTGAGAGGAGTGGGCTTGTAGCCTCGTTTTCTTACTGACTGTTCTAGCGACGAGCTTGAGCGCGAAGGCACCCCATGTCGAGTCCTTGGCTACTAGGGCTTTGAGTCGCATCAGGCGCACTGCGTCATTACGCCATGCGATGTGGATTATCCCCACTCCGCCTTCGAGTTTCGAGCGGGATAGGGTCATTTGGTTGACCGTCGGGCCTTTCTTACCCTTCCAGAAGAAGGCTAGTTGCCTTTTGCTGATGGCTTTTTCTATAAGCTGCGGCATTCCTTGCGCGGCGGTCAGGAAGAGGGTCATTCCTGAGGTTAACCAATCTGTGAACATTTTCCGCGAGCGGAGCTCCGGATATCTATCTTTGTTCGCCCAGAAGGATAGGCGACCGTCGAGTTTATTCATAACTTGCGTCCAGATTGCATCCGTCGACAGAGCGTTGCCGATCCGGCCTCCTAAGGACCGCCGGGCGTCGTTGTCTTTCACCATGAGAACATCTGCTGGTATCGGTGGATGTTCGGATTTCAGGCGTCTCTCGTTTAGGACCCTTGTTCGGTACACCTTCGTTCCTACTGGTATGACTTCGGATTTCTCGATGTTGAATCTTGCTCTTGATGCTTTGCACCATCTGTTGAGAATGGTTGTAAGGTCTTGAAAGTCGTCATCTTCGCTCAGGTACACTGTTGTGTCGTCTGCGAATAACGTGGCTATGAGGCGCTCTATGCTGTCTGGGATTTCGAAGCCTTTCAGGTCGGATTGACGAAGCATTTCGGCCAATGGTTCAATCGCTAGTACGAAGAGCAGGCACGATAGTGGGTCTCCTTGTCTGACCCCCCTGTATACCCGGAAGGGCTCGCTTGCGACTCCGTTGATAATGACTCTTGATGTTGCTTCCTCGTATAGGGATTCTACCGGCCTGACCCATTCTTCGGGTATGCCGAACTCCCGTACTACTGCCCACAGGTAGCGGAGGTCTACCTTGTCGTACGCCTTCTCTTGGTCCAAGAGGACGATAGCGCCGTTTATCTCGTATGCCTCTGCATATGCTATAATCATCCGGGTCAGGGCTATGTTGTTGTATATGGATCTCCCAGGTATAAAGCCCGCTTGGCGGATGGGAACGATTTCACCAATTACTTCGGCTAGTTGTAACGCTCTGAACTTGGTGTAGAGCTTATAGTCGGTGTTCAGTAGGGTGATGGGTCTGTAGTTCTTGCATAGTGACCTGTCTCCTTTCTTGAATATGGGGCACATTACTCCCTCATTTAGGCCCGCCGCGCTACAGTGGCCATGGTTCTCGACATCATTGAAGACGGCGGTGAGCAGGCGGAGGGCATCAAAGTTTGTTTCACCCTTCCGTTCCTTCTCTGCTGCAATATTGACCATTCTTTTCCAGAATTCGTATGGTAATCCGTCTGCACCGGGTGCCGAGTTGTTCTTCGTCAAGCGGAGCGTGTCGCGCAGGTTCTCTTTCGTGGCTGGTACTTTCAGTTGCTGCGCCTGGTCTTCAGATAGGCGGTTGGTTACGAAACCACATGCATCTCTAGTCGCGGTTTGGTGAGCTTCTGGAGATTCCGGGGGATCTTGGGTCTGAAGGTTCTCATGGAACATTGCCATCTCCTCCGCCATGTCTTCGGAGCGCCTCAGGTAACGGTCTGCTTCTGCCTGCTGCCGTTGTCTATCTCGTTCTTGGTTTGTCTCATGGTCTAGCTCCATGACGGGTTGGGCGTCGTCCTGGTTTATTGGTTGCTTATCCTCAGGGTTGTTCTCTAGTCGTCGGGCGTGACGTCGTGCGCGTTCTTCATCCATATCTGGGAGTTTCTGCAGTCGTACAATGATCTCTTTCGGTGCTTTGGGCCTGTTTTGCGAGGTCATGTATCTACCAGGGGTCCCTCCCCGGAGGAAATCCGTAGCTTGTACTGCTGTTCGGTGCTTGTTGTGTTTGAGCTGTACCCCTTTTCTGATCTTCTTGTCTATCTCGCTAAGGGTGGCCGTGTCTAGCCGGCCTGATCTCACTAGTTCCTCTTTCGTCTCTACGAGGCGATCGATGGTCTTGTTGATGTTGACCTGTGTCATCTTCTTGTCATGGTTGCGAATGGCGATTTTTGCTTTTGCTTTGAAGTCTCTGATAACTAGTTGGGGGTTGTGTTCGTCCGAGCGCTCTTGTATTCCGTCGATCTCCGCTAGAGCCTCGTGCCCTAGTTCTTCTATTGCTTTGATTACCTTGGGGTCTTTGAGGAGCCTCAACGGCATTGACCAGCGTCCTTTCCCAATGTAAGGTGCCTTGCGGCATTCTACCTCTATCACGAGCATCTTGTGGTCCGAGCCTATCCCAGCTTCTTCTATTATGACTTTCAGCACGTATGGGATGAGGGGTAGGGTTAAGTAGCCTCGGTCGATGCGCGACCAGGTGTCTTGTGTTCCGAATTTGTGGTATGTGAAGTCTTGTGCTGTCGGGTGGATGGTTCGATATGCGTCTTGTAGGCCAAAACGCAGGTTAAGGTCCCATAGTGCATCTACTACCGCGTTGGAGTTCGATCTCCCCGACGCTCTATCGAAGGCGTCTTCTACCATATTGAAGTCTCCTGCCATGTAGTCTGGTTTAGGGAGATCTGGGTCTTCGTCGTACATGTTGTCTATATTTTCGAAGAAAGTTTTCCTCTCCGCATCCCTCGATGATGGTGCGTAGATGTTTAGTAGGGTTAGCGTCTTGTTGTTGTGCCAGTTGAATTTGAGGATGGCGGCGCTCCCAGGGATGAGCACTATGTGCTTGATGTTCGAGACGTCTACGACATTCAGGTTTACTAGGAAGCATACACCTCCCACGCTCGCTTCATGGTCTGGTGTCGGCGAAGTGAATACACGCATCCTGTCGTAGTTGGCTTCAAGCTCGTTTGCCTCTTGTTGTGAGAGGTGGGCTTCTTGTATCATCATGATTCCTATCTTATCTTCCTTCAACTTACGGTGCAGGTTCTGCCACTTTACACTCCGGGGGCCGCCAGGTTGCCCATTCAGTGATTGGCCGTTCATGTTCTGCGTGGCGATTTTGATCGCAGGTTTGGTTCGTCTTTTCTTCGGTTTGGCACGCCGTTCTGCTTGTTCTTGTCTTCTCCGAGACGCTCTGTTTGGCCCATGGTAGGGGCGCACTGCCGTTTGGGGTGCTGATGGGTTGCTTGCCCTGTCGCGTTGACTGCCGTCTTCTTGACGGACCTCTTCGCGTATTCTTGTGGGGCCCTCGTTTCGGCTTTCCGAGGGTGTAGAACTTGCTTTCTCTACTTGCGCATCTCTGCGGCCGCCATGGACTGCAGTTCTCTCATCATGCGGATTGACTCCCTGTTGGGAGGTTGGGCCGCTTGATTGGCGGCCCGGGCTGCTGGTTTGGCTGCCCGCCTCGGTACGGTTTACGAGGCCCTCTCCTTGGATTGGAGAGGTTGGGGGTGTGGTTTCACCCCCTCGCGCCATTTGGCGGCCATCGTCGTTATTAACGACATCGTTCCAACGGCCTTCTACGGGAGCACGACTGATGGAAGAGGTGCTCCCTCCAGCGGTGAACGTGATTCCCTCACACGGATCAGTAGCCGTACTATGATGATCCCCAAACCCAGCCACCTGGCTTTCAGCAGCTGGGGGGAGCGCCATTGCCCGGGCGCACGGGTGACCCTGCCTTACCTATCCGAGATCCTACCACCTACCTAGAAAGAAAACCGGTCAGTAAGGCTCGTGGGATCGCCACACGAGGGGTCAGCCTGAATAGGCTCCCGTCTTTTGTACGGCCTTCCGTACGCACCCAAGCTTTCCGCCATGACGCGTATATTTGGGCAAGGGTGGTGTTAGCATTTTTGGTAGGGATTTTCCGGCACCCTCAATAGATGATTGTCATGGGGTGGGCAAAGATTCTGTGGTATACAATTGACTTTCGAGGCAGGGGGTACAGGTATAGATCGAGTGCGCGTATATCAGATTTCGGTGCTAAAAGAATGGAACCCGTCTTCCGGGTGGGCCGCGTATTCTGCCTCTTGGATCGAGTACCAGTTTAAGCATATCCGCAGGATGGAGCGGAGCATATTGATGATGGCGCGTCGTTCCTTGCGCGCTACTCTGTCTCGCTTGTGCAGGCGGTGGCGTTGTCGGCGGTTCGTTTTCTTGACGCGGTGCCTCTCCGCCTCGGCTGCGCTTGCCGCTTGCGATACGGTTGTGAGCCGGGTCCAAACCGCACCGTGGTATATTGGCTTCTTCTCGGTAAAAATTAGCACGCCTTCGTGGTCGTAGAAGTCCGGCGAGAACATGGCGATGTGGCTTGTGGATCTGGTAGGGAGTAGGACTTCGGGTCCTTCGAAGTCTGGCTCGTTCTCGTGAAGGGGGCGGAGGAGTTCGCGCAGTGCGCGGTAGAAGGTTGCGGGCGGGTGGAGGTCGGCGTGGCGGACGAGTTTCTTCAGTTCCGCGAGCGCGACGACGCGGTGGTGCGAGCCACCGCCTTCCTTGTACGATGGCATTGTGTCTGGGGAGGCGTAGGTGAGCGACTTCTGCTCAGGTTTAAGTACGTTCTGACTATGTGGCTCGGGTGGATGGTTTCGAGTTGGTTCTTTGTGGGCCTGAGCGTGTTTCGCTTCGGGCGGTTTGTGGCGGGGCGGTACTTTGAGGAAGGGCGGCTGGGTGAGTTGAGCGTGTTCGTGGGTTTGTGGGTTCCGACTTTAAAAGTGGGGGCAAGGGAATATATACACGATCATTGTGGTGTTACACGACAGGTTACAGGCTATGCAGTCGGATGATCAACATCGAGGAGAAGGTAACGTGCGGACAGCCCGCTTCGGGAGATAGTGGACGGGGAGAATTCAGGACGGTTAGAAAGCGACGCTACTTCCACGACCGCGGCCGCGACCGCGACCACGGCCTCCTCCTCGGCCTCGGCCTCCGCGTCTGCCCTCCGAGACGCCTACGTGGCCTATGGTGAGCTGGCCCGGGGCCCTCGTGGCCACTCGAACGTTCTGCGCTACCTCGCGCGAGGCCGGGCCACGCCATAGCGTGTGGCGCGGGAAGGGGCAAAGCCCATCCGGGTGGTCGAGCGACCAGCACCGCTTGCACTTGTGTAGGGTTGTGAAGCTGACGCGCCCGATGATGGCGCTGCTCCACACTGCTGGCGGGATGCCTAGGAGCGCTTTGCGGATAAGGACTTGCTTCGCGGGCTCTTCGGTCGGGAACTTGCGGAAGGCGACGTTCCACACGGGAGCTGCTTCGCCGTTCGGCTTCTTGCAGTCGACTTTACGGACCGAGATCGAGTTGTGTATCTCTTGGTGTTTGGCGTCGGGGTCCTGGGATGTCGCGATGATCTCCTTGATAACGATGGCACCGCAGATGATCCCTCGGACGTGGGCTAGGATCTCGCTTTTCGTCGAGCGCTTGTCTGCGTTAATAAGCTGCCCGATGAGGCTGCGGCCCTTGTTGAGGAGCTTATTGGGATGCACGATGAAGGTTATCGGGTCGTCGCCTTCCGGGTTTGCGGTGATGGCGATATGCTTGACGAACCAGTCTACCTCGTCGGGCCGGCAGCCCCAGACTGCGTACGAGTGAAAGCCGTAGGTCGGTGGGTCGACGACGAGGCGGTTGTATATGTTGTCCTGTCCCTGGCGCGCGATTGCAAGCCCTTCGATGACCTTGTTGGTGCGGCTTCGAACGGTGTTGTCGCTCGACGTGGGCTGTTCGTCGTATACGTCGACGAAGAAAACGTTCTCGCCGTTAGATTGGATAAACTCGCGCCAAGCGTTGACGTCCTTGTCATGGCCCCAGCGCCGCTGGATGGCATAGGGGTCAGCGAAGTCGATTACGGGAGCGTCCGGGTCGTTGCGGGGGATGCACGCCGGCGGACCGCGATTGTGCGCCTCATCTTCTTCCGGGTGTTCCTCCTCCTCGTCGAAGTCGGAGGCGTTCGGGTCGTCTTCTTCTTCTTCGGCTTCGCCCTCCTCTTCGTTTATCTCCTCTTCGACCTCCTCTTCGTTAGCGTCGTCTTCATCCATCGGGCCGGGTTGCCTCTGCTCCGGGTTGGTGTAGCCCGGCGGCGGCCCGGCGGCAGCGTTGCCCGTCGCGCCGCCTACCCCGTCACCGCTATCCGACGGTTTCGGGTCAGTGGGCTCGCCGACGTGGTGGGATGTGATTGGTGATGAGCGCGGGCCGGTGGCTTCGCGAGCGTTCTTGTCGCTCCGCGCCAGTACGCGGTCGAGGGCGCTGTTGGCCGCCTTCGCCAGCAAGGTTGGGGACGCGGCGAGTGGCCTCTCGTAGGGGGGAAGGGACTCGTCCTCGTCGGGCAGCTCGTCGACGGGAAGGAGCGCGAACGCGTTCCTGGTGGCGCCTTGGTTCTTCGCCGGGGTGGGGTCGACGGGGTTGAAGCGCGTGGATGAGCGCTGGGTGCGCTGCGGGCCGCCGTTCGTATTGTACGAGTTGGTGACAGAGATAGCATGGGGGGGCTGGGGAGGGATCGTTTAGCTTTGTCGCGCAAATTCGAGGGCGGCAAACCTACTAGGTTGAGGTCGCGTACCGCTTCTTTGTACGCGCGCGCGCCTTGGCGCTCGATGTTGCGTTCGCCTGCCTGTGCCGACCTAGACTTGTGGAGCGACTGGCGCAGCTCTCGGCGGCTGTCGGGGTCCAGCCAGGGGTTGACGGGTGGCTTGGGGCTGTTGAGCGGTCGCCTCTGGAAGGGCGGGGTATGCTCGGCCGGGGCGGGGTTAAGGATGCGGTTGACGTCCATCGATACGCGGTGCGGACTTGGGTGGTGGGGAGAGGTCAAGGCGCTGAGGATGGGCCGTCGCGTTTGAAGTAGGGGGCGGCCTCGTGTGCCTTCCTTTGTCCTGGGCCTCGTGTCTGACCTCGCTGCGTCTGCGTCTCTTGAGTGGCATTGGGAGGTCAGCTCGCCGTCTGAGGCTCGCTGAGGGGGTGGATAATGGGACGGTCATCGGCCTTAGTGAAGGGCGAGGTGGAGGTCGGGAGCACGATGGCGGCCGCGGCGCATTTGTCCGTGGTGGGGAATCTCACGGCAAACGTTGGGCCGCCTCTGCGTCTCGTTGTACGGACGGCTTGAGCTCGTAGCTCTATCGACTGGGGGGTTTGCCCTGTCGTTGAGGAGGTGGATTGCCATCCTCGTCTCGCACGCCGGTTTAGCGCGGAGTAGAGAGCGCTGGATTGGCCACTCTCTCTTAGGCATGGCTTGATTGGCCATGCCCGTTTGGGCTTTGCCCGCCGAGACCACCATTCTCGCCTCCCTCGCCCCACAGACATGAAAGCGAACAGCATAGCATACATAAAACTAATCTACGGAACTACATACAGCATACTTGGGCACAGGAGGGCCACCGTTATACAGGTCACGTGGCTCGGTGGTGGTGGTTTTTCCTCCCCAGGGCTCTCTTCACCCAGTGGACCTTGCACTCTAAGGTCACCGCGTAGTCCCATATATACGGAACTGGAGAACATATTGATTGATCAGCCATCACAAACCGCCAATAGACGATGCCCGATAGACGTACGAGGCATAGCCGGGCCGTAGGGCCATTGGATTCGCACGTATCGCTTCGGGAACTCGTTGTAGTCAAAATGCTCTTCGTTGACGTTGACGATCTCGGAAGGGAACAATTCTTCCCACATTTCATCGCGTGCTCCATCGCCTAACTCAAGGTCCTTCAGAGCCTGTCTCTCTTCAGACTCTTCGAAGGCCACGGTGGCCCCGCAGGTAAGCATGTAGATCTGAACGACCTGTCCGTTGTACTTCGTCTCCCCAAACGGTACAGCATAGTACTGACCGCCTTCCTTAGACTCCAGGAGATCGTTGGTACACTTGAGCAAGCTCTCATCGAACACCTCCGGGGGTATGCGATAAGAGGTGCAATAGACGCGAAGCTGGGCGCGGGTTACGAGAAGACCACCGACGTAGATCTTCAAGCGGTAATCCACCATGTGCTGAGTAGAGGCGCTTGAATCTGCCATGATGGGATTGGCGAGAGATGTGGAAGGTCAGGTGGGGAACGTTCGACGGCAAGGGAGGCTGGAGGGGTGCTGCTGGCAGTGTACCGGACGTTACATGTACGCGACGATCAGAGCGCGGCGTGCGCCCACCGGTCGTCATCTTGACATTCGGATAGACATTCGTTATGCGGACGAAGATGAGAACAAGCTGGGGAACACGCTTCATCATCGATCATCATTTGAATAAGGTCTAGAGGCACTGGGAAACATCCGCCTTGCTCGCGGTAGCAGACCAAGCCTCGGAAGCGCGTCTCAGCGCCAAAGCTCCTGCGCGTGGGAGAATGATGGAGTGTACCGCACGACCCGCGCTCGTCGCCTCGCCCGTCTGTACACCGTCCCATCTTTCTCTCCTATGCATCGACTATATACGATCGGCCAGTACTAAGCAATGTCCGACACCGCGTACCGTTCAAAACTAGGCCTCCCACTGGACAGAAAGCGGCCCCGTCGCTCGCCCCATCTACCCCGCATCCCGAGCCGGACACGCTATACAAGCTGGCAGAGCGCTAGACTCGACGTCGACGCGTCGCGTACTTCAGCGCCGGGTGAACGGCCGCCGCCAGCACACCGCCAAACCTCCGTTCGGCTTCACCCGACGATGACGGTTCGTCGGCATCTGTGAACCTTGCGCCCACCGCCGCAGAGGTCGAGAGCGAAGACACAGGATACAACGCGCGTCGGATGGATCGCTGTTATGGCTGTGGAGAGCCTCAAGATGCCTCCTGATTGATTCGCACCATTCAACGTCGGTCATGCTACGCTCATTGATGATTTGAGGGTCGGGTTGTAGGTACTTTTCCCATCTCTCGAGTTTCTCAACTGATAAATATGTTTCAGAGCGTTACTGTACACAAGCGTGTGCATGTCAAGAAGTTCTATAATCTAATCCAGAGAATATGTGTTCATTCATGGTTCCTGATCACCACTGGTGTATTCATCATTTCTCTGCCACACGCATTAGCACGGCATCTTGCTACAAGATGCCAAACCACGACATACGCGAACGGGAAGTCTCCGGTCCGCTGCTTGTCTGAGAGAAGGGAAACTATCTTCAAGTCCTCTAGGCGCTGTTCTTTACGGCCGTCGAAGAGTTCGGCGTGTTTGACACCGTTCCGGGCATATCGGCATGGAGCAGAACCTGGTCCTGTGCTGAGTGTAAGAAGGCCAATCTTGCGGGAACCAGTTCGTCGGCACGCACCTCCTCCGACATCTCCATCTCAAAAACTTGACCGTGCCTCATATCCACGGAGGATGGCGCAGGAGGTTGTCCTTTGAGCTTCCTCCATTGAGCCTTGCAAAGTCTTTCGACGCTGGCCTTGATATTGTCAGGCACTTTGGTGACTATCGTCAGCAATGCAGCAAGATGAAGGCCGTTTGTAACACGTACGTGGCTTACTGCTCAAGTTGTCCCAAGCGCGCACCACCCAGGGCACGTCCGCGGGATCAAAGTGGTCAAGATCTTCGCTGTCGTCCTCGACATCCGACTCAGCGTCAGAGTTGAAGATCTTATCGACGTTGAATATGCGCGGATGATTCTCCATGATCGTTCTAGTCACCCAGGGCGTGAGCCTCTGGAAATATTGCTTATGCCCCCTGGCCAGCAAGCTCCCGACTACGCGATTGTAAACCTCCTGCTCAAAGACGACTGCAGTGGTTTGGATGAAGACGTAGTTTCGCGACCTGGTCGTGGTGACGACAAGCCCCTTAGTCTCCGGTTTAGACAAGAGGTAGTCGTTGAACGCGCGCAAGGCGCCTTTCGTCTTGCGCTCTGGCACCTCATGGCATACACAGATGACCTCAAGGTGCTCTGGGGTCATAAGGAATCCTGAGTTGAGGATGGCAACTTTGAACGCAACGCGGCGGGGCTGAACGGAGGATGCTTGCGGTACCGGGTCCATGTCGACGGCAGAGAGTGCGGATTAGTTTCTAGATAGTTAGGGTGAAAGTGAGCGGCGATAGGCTTTTGCGTGTGTACAACGTGTGCGACGATCCCCGAAGTCGGGAGCTCACGCCAAGCAGGCGAATTAACTGGTGATTAGTCTTACGTTGAGATTGTCGGGTACCCCTGTCATGATTGCAGGCAAGAGCGCACGAATGAGCATAACCTTCGTCCGGCTTCACTCGACGATGAAGGTTCATCTGCGAGCCACGCGCTCACCACCGCAGAGGTCGAGAGCGAGCGAAGATCCAGGATACATCGCGCTTCGGAGTTGCTCCTTCAGATCTTAATTGCCCTTTACACGATCTCGGAGAGCTTTAGGACGTCTGATCGATAAGCGTATCCGACGTCGGTCATACTACGCTCAGATGCTTCGAGGGGCGGGTCGTGGGTACGTTTCCAATATCATAAGTTTCTCAACCGATCAACAAGTCTTAGACTGTCATTGTACATCCTCGTGCGCATGTCAAGCAGCTCGATAGATTAGCTCCGAGTCAGCCAATGTATTCATCATTCACCGAGTGGCTTCCGTTCACCATTGGTGTGATTATGTGCGCTGTTCTTCGCAGCCGATGAAGAGTTTAGCGTGTTCGCCGCCGTTCCAGACATATCGGCCTGGAGCAGGACCCGGTCCTGTGTTGAGTGTAAGAAGATTACTCTTGCGGAGACCCGGGCCAGTTCGCCAGCACGCACCTCCTCCGAAATCTCCACCTCAAAAACTTGACTGTGTTTCACATGTACGGAGGATGGCATAGGAAGCTTGCCCTTCCTCCATAGAGCCTTGCAAATGTCTTCAACTATGACCTTGATGTTGTCCGGGACTTCGATGCTCATCGTCAGCAACGCAACAAACGAAGTGTCGATCAGAACGCGTACGTGGCTTGATGCTCAAGTCGTCCCAAGCACGCACCACCCAGGGCGGGTCTATGGGGTAAAAGTGCTCATGATCGTCGCTGTCGTCCGAGACATCTGATCCAGAGTCGGAATTGAATATCCTATCGACGTTGAGGAATAGGCCCGGATAGTCCTCCATGACCGATCTATGCAACCAGGGCTTGAGCCTCTCCAGATAGCGCGCTTGGCCCTTGGCTATCATGTTCTTGACCTTGCGATCGTGAGCCACCTGGTCAAAGACGACGGCAGTGCCATGGATGAAGACGAGGTTTCGCGTGGTCGTCGTGGTGACGGCAAGATCATTTGTCTGTGGGTTAGACAGAAGGTAGTCGTTGAATGCGCGCAAGGCGCCCTTCGTCTTGCGCTCGGGCACGCCGTGGCACGCACAGATGACCTCGAGTTACTCTGGTGTTATGAGGAATCCCGAGTTGAGGATGGCAGCTTTGACCGCAATCCGGCGGGGCTGGACCGAGGGTGTATGGCGTGGCGAGGCCATGTCGACGGCGGAAAGTGAGAAGAGGGCGGGACGTCGGAGAGTTTACGGGCGACGAGCTGCTTCATATATGCCATGCGTGCGACGATCTCCGCAGTAAGGAGTTACAGAAGCTCATGCCGAGCAGACAGCTTGTCTTGCGTTGTGATCATCGGGTGCCTAGGTTCTAACCGAAGGTAAGGGCAGGGCGGGCAGCACTGCGACGCCTACTGGCACGTATGCTGGAGGACGCGTCCTCACGCACATGAGTGCTCATGCGACAGCAACGAGGGGCGCTCGCTCATTGCAGAAGTTATGCGCACGCGCGGTCGCTGCATCGCTTTCCGTTGCGGCCAGTCAGTCCGGTGCCGCAGAGTTACAGCTTGGCGAGAAGCAGCTGAGGTCTACGACCAGGCGAGTTGCTTCGTGGCGCTCTTGCGTGGGCGTACTGTGTCACCAACCTCTGCACCCGAAGCATGTACAAATCAGTGTATGTGAGATCCGAACCAGCGAGCAGGCAGGCAGAATGATTTGATTGAAGTACGATGAGATAAACGTCACAAGCGCACAGACAACCGTGGTGGTCGCGCAGAGCAAGCCTCGGAAGGCGCGCCTCAGCGCCAAAGCTCCTGAGCGTGGGACAATGATGGAGCCTACCGCGCGACCCGCACCATCAGCGCTCGTCGCCTCGCCTTGCAACGCGCGTACACCTCCACCTTTCTATCCCAGACGATCACGAACCAAGCACCCAGTAATGTCCGACCCACCGCCCGCGCGCCCCAAACCGGGCTCCCTGCGC